GAAGGCTACAAAAGGTTTCATACAAAATTAAGAAAGAAATCCTAAAAGTAAGGACACTTTTGAAGTAGTGCTCCAAGACTTCCAGGAAAAAAAAAAAAAAAAAAAAAACAAGAACCCATTACTGAGGAAAGGCATGAATACAAATATAATGAATACACAGAAAGACATGTCAATTTTCTCAACATTGACTCATAAAACCAATAAAATCTCTCAAAAATAATACAATGGTTTGTGGTTGGTTTTTTTTGAATTTCAATCAAGGTATTTCTAAAATACACATGAAAGGGATAAGAGCCAGGAATAGCCTAGACTACTGAAAAAAGTAGGAGAATGTCTGTCATAGGAACTTACTTTAATGCTTTTCTAATTAGGATAACAGAACAGTGAGATAGGGATTGACTGATAAATTAAAAACTGCAGAAATCCAAAAGTTATATAGTAGATAAAACACCTCAGAGCAGTAAGACAGCCCCCTTAAGGGAAAGAACTTGAATGGTTCTGAACTTTAAATATTCATGATGAAAAGAAGGGAACACATCGCACAGAACTGAATCCTAACCTCATATCACACACAAAAACTTAGTCTATATAAACTGTGAACTTGTTAAAGGCAAAATTCTGAAGCTTTTGGAAGACAAGTAGATTATCTTCATTATATTGGTTTAGGAAAAAATGCCTTAAAATAAACATTAAAAGAAAAGAAAAAACTGAAAAATTCTACTATACTGACATGAAGAAGTCTCTCGGCCAAGACACTATAATGAAAATAAAGAGATAAGTCACAGAATGAGAAAGCATTTATGATACCATAACTGAGAAATGGCTAAAATTCAAATACATATATAGAGAGATACATATACACATGTTTATAATACACACAAATATTTTTTTTAATTTATTTATTTGCTATTTATACACGACATTCTGCCTCCATGTATGCCTGCAGGCCAGAAGAGGGCGCCAGATCTCATTACAGATGGTTGTGAGCCACCATGTGGTTGCTGGGAATTGAACTCAGAACCTCTGGAAGAGCAGCCAGTGCTCTTAACCACTGAGCCATCTGTCTTTCCCCCAGGAATGTTTTAGTATTCATCTGTAAACAGAGACTGTTCATTTGTTTCCAGATGTTCATACCCAAATATAATACACACAAATATATTACAAGTACATATACTACATATAGGCAGAAAATGACATTTATAAGAAAATAATGTGTGTGAATGGAACACAAAGAAATTTAAACTATGATAAACATATTAAAAAGCATTTATTAATAATCAGATGGTCAAAAATTCTAATACCAAATGTCAACAAGAACAAAGACATCTTCATACACTCCAGTAGGACTATAAATAGCTTAGTCAGTCTGACATCAGCTAGTGAAATTAAAGTCATACTGCTCTAGAAGCACAACCAGGCTACCCCTGAGTCAGGTCTTGATGAAGTGTCCCAGGGTTTTATGTCAGAGTCGAAAACTAGAAACAACCCGTTTGCCCACTAACAGTAAAATGGCAAATGACTGGGATACAACCTGTTGCAGGATACTTGTACACTGTATGAAGATGTGTTGCTGTGACTGATGTAATAAAAAGCTTAACAGCCAATAGCTAGGCAGGAGACATAGGTGTGACTTCCTCGCAGAAAGAAGACACCATCAGGAGGTGAAACAAGGAGGACACACAAAACGAGAGAGAGGTAAAAGCCACGTGACAGAACGTAGATTAATATAAATGGATTAACTTAAGTTATAAAAGCTAGTAGAACAAGCCTAAGCTAATGACGCCTCCGTGTCATTATTTGGGATATGCCCAGCAGGACAGAGAAAGATTCGCTACAACAATCCTGTTACTGAATGCGATGCGACAATGAAAATCAACTAACTGCAGCAGTCGGTGATAACAAAGCCCATGTAACAAGCATAGTAACACACTAAATATGATTCTATTTTCATAATGCTGAAACACATACAACTAAGTTTATGTTTAGAGATGCTAAACTATACAGCAGATGAGTAACTTAAGGAGAGAGTCTGAGGTGCAGCAGAATTTCTTAACCCTGATACTGTCAACAGAAACCTACTTTGTTACCTGCTAAATACATATACATGTTTCAGTATTTCTTCAATACAAGAATTACATATTTCACTACTTTCTAAAAGACATGGCCCTGTCAGTTGCCACAGAGCATACAGTCAGGACTCAGCATCAACTGCTTTAACAGGTTAAAAACAGACGTGTCACTCAAAGCATATTTTTGTTACTATTTTTTGGTTTCTGATAAGATAATGCAAAGGATATTATGTATCTTCATTTACATCCAACCATACCACATTGAAAAGAAAACAAACTTAAACTAGTACTGATTTTTACAAGCATGCTAGTAACTCTGTGAGAGCTGTACAGCTCTGAACTGAGCGCAAGGACTGCAACTGTATGATGGGAAGCTGACTTAAATTAAGAACACAACATGATTTCCTAGAAACAGTCTTGGCTGTCCTGGAATTCACTCTGTAGAGCAGGCTGGCCTCGAACTCACAGCAATCTCCCTGCCTCAGCCTCCCAAGTGCTAGGATTAAAGGTGTACACCACCACTGCCCAGCCAATTTAATATTTTAATAGTCCCAAATTTCCAAGTGGTAGCTGGAATCAAGCTTTAAAACAGCTGTCTACTGCACACTACCATAAACTTTAAGGTATGACAGCATTCACACCACAAAAATAACTTTAGTTTCCTTCATATAAATTTACAACTTCCAGAGAATCTTGAAAATTAAACAACTTTTAGAAAAGTAAAAATGAGGCCAAAAAGTCAAGCAAGCTTAAATTTACATTTTTGTTTAAAAAAACAAAAACAAAACTCATGCCTGATTCCTCAAGAGCAAATGCAAAGAATCTGTGTTCTTCAGTACCATTGTAAAAATAATCCCATAGGATGCTAGCCAGTTTGTAATGTTAAACTACACGAAGTCTCAAATTTTTCAGGAAATTTCAACTGACTTTGCAATAAGATTATACATGACCCTATGCAGAGTAAAATCGCACAATTTGCCTATGCCATAGAAAGAGGCTGTTATCTTCTGGGTCCCCTTTCCTCTCCCATACCACGTTTGGCTTCTATGACCTCTATAGATAATGACAGTAATTTCTACTATTCATTGAACCCCTTCTAGATGCCTTACACTTTCTATATATTTACACCACAAATACAAGAAATAGGCCTTCCAATGAGGGAAGTCCGTCACTGTCAGTCACCGAATATACAGCAGGTAACTTGCCCAAGGTCACAGACTGCAGTGTGGAAGAGCAAGAAATATTCCGGTATGAGCCCATGCTCTTAATCCTCTGCTGTTTCCTATCTGATGAAATGTCCTCACACCACAAGAAATACCCATGGTCACCTACCCTTCTCACCACAAGCTTCAGGTGCCTTACGGGTTTCTCTTGGCCTCTCCTCAGTAACTGTATATGCAGAGGACATTAACAAGTGGAAAGAGCCGAAGAAACAAACACTCAAGGAAACCTATGGTTTTACAACTAACAAAACATGAGTCGGAGATGGTTATTTTGCCCACGCCCACCAAGCTGGCTCTGACAGCCAACACTAGTGTCCCTACAATGATTTTCCAACCACACTAAATGCCCTTCCAACCAGGCATCTTAGAGAGTAAGCTCTTGTTGAAACCATATTCTGTGCCAACTTTCAATAGCATTCTCTGAAGAGAACATTTCATTTCAACAAATAATGAGGAAATGCATATGCTGAGAAACAGATTCAAATGTGAAACTTTGGACCTCAATTTTATTATATAAATATGAATGTCAATTATAATACATGACAAGTGCGACAGTAGCCATGTGAACAAGATGTTCCAAAAACACTCAGCGCAAAGAAAGTGTGTCTTTCAGACTGGATAAAAGATGAGGACTGGAATTTTGACAGAATGCATTCAGTGCATGCATACATCACAAGATAAAGTGTACTATGCTTAACAACTAAGGGAAATGCTTTCTACTGAATGGACGTTAAAGTAAAAACACACTACTGCAATTGGGAACAGAAGATCTGAGTTCAAGGTTAAACTGAATCACGTGCCCACGACTACGTTTAAGCTTCAGGATACCCAACCTTGGAAACGTGGACGCTACTACTGACCTGGTCGCTTTCCGGAACTTTCACGGGGAACAAATTACATGAAACTGAAAAGTGGAGTATGTAAGTGTTCACTTCTAGGCAACCCTGTGGGTCCTTCCCCTAAACTGTGGCTCATAAAAGCCTCACCCTTCAGGAAGTAAATATTCCAGTGACATCATTCATATACTTCCTAGGACAGTACAAACATTTAACATTCACACCTTCATTTTGAAACATCAAACCTCTACTGAAATAACTACGCGTGGAGTTTTTAATTCTTCAAGTGCTGGTACTGCCTTAGAGCCAATGCTTATTATATTTAGAAACTAGGATGAAATGCAGATTTTCTTCTGGAAGTTTTCTGTCAGAAATTCCATCCCATGTGGCCAAGCAACCAACTCAAGAACAGACAGACTGCAAGCTGGCATCACTTTACTCTTGTTTTATTTGAACTACAGATACTGCCCGCTCTCTGCCCCTAGCTCCCAAAAGTTACCTGTTTTGGTACAAGCATACCTGCAAACGCCATTAGTAAACAAACATGCGCACACTGAAAAGCCTACTGAGTTTCCGATTTTATAATGAGGGCCACAACCGCCCGCTCCTCCCATGAAATTACACTAATTTCTTTCCAAGTTTGACAGGGTGGACTGCCCAACCATCACTCTTGAATCTGCATCCGGCCCGCCTGTATTCAGTAAACCCTACCGTCGGAGCCACTGCTGTGATGCTGAGCTGAACTTTCCACGTTCAAAGCCCAGGGAGGGTGGGCAAGATACGGGAAGGGGTGTAGGGGTGAAGTCCTCGTGCCACCCTGGACGGGAGACCGTTTCAGCTCCAAAGCCAACTTCCCGTTTTCTCCCTCTTACCTTATACACTTTCCCAAAGGCTCCGTCGCCCAGTTCCCCTATAATCTCCCAAAACTCTTCGGGGTTCAGGTCTCTCTTCACGTGTTCGTACTGCTTCTTCTTCTTCTCGCTCCCCAACTTGAAGATCTTACGGAAATTGAAGAAGGACATTTTTCCTGCCCGGCAGAGTCCCTGGCACTTAAAGAGCTAGGAACAATAAAAGGCAAAGTTTCTGGCGCGTCCTCTCCCGCGCGAGCCCGGGGTCCGGGCCGCTCCCGCCTGGCGCTCCCCGGAGAAGGCGGGGCAGCGACCGGGCTCCGGCCGAGGAGGGGGGCGCGTGGCCCGCGGGGCCGGGACGGGCCGAGCGGTGCCGTGGGCACCTCGCTCGAAGGCCCCAGGGGCTGCACCTGCCCCGGCGCTGGTCCCCGCCCCGCCCCGCCGCACACCGGGCCGCCGGGGTCCGAGCGGTGCGGACGCCCGCGGCGCCTCGCCTTAGGCCCGTGTCACGGCGCGTCTCCCGGGGCGGCGGCCACTCCGGGCCCGGGAAGCGACCGGCGCCCGCGAGGCACACAGCGGCGAGGCCGAGCTGTCCCGCCGGGGCCCCCGCGTCCGCTCCGAAGCCGTCCGTTCCCGCTGCGCGAGGCCCGCGCGAACCCTCGGCTCTGGGGCGCCGCCGCTTCGCTCGCTGCTTCAGCCCACACAGCCTCGGCCCGCAGCGCGCGCGGACGCCGACGCCGACTCGCAGCGCGCCCGCGCCCTCCGGCCGCGCGCATGCGCGCGCGTCTCGGTCACGCGCCCGGCTCCCCGCGCGCTCGCGAGGGCGTGCCCTCTGGCCCCGCGCACGCGCACTAGAGCCGCCGGGCTGTACGGCGGGCGGCTTGCTGGCGCCTGCGGCGGGAGGTGTGGTGGGTACGAGAGCGCTTCCAGCCGCCGCCGGAGCTTCGAGTTGACCTCCGGGAGCCGGATCCGGGTGGTTCTCCGGCGAGGATGGGGAGGTCTCCACCCGCACGACCCTGTTGATTGTGCTGGCGGATGTTGCCTCATTCTGCTCAGGGGGAAGCGGGAAAGCAGGCTGTGCTGGTTGGTGCCTGAAAGTGGGGTGTTTTCTGCTCCAGAACCGGTACCAGAAGACTGTGCAGGGGAGAACCGGGAACCTGGGCTTTCAGCCACAGTTCAGTGACTTTGAATAGAGCATCAGATTCTGGATTGCGATAATCCCGATAGTCCTTACTGCTGGTGGCGGAAGGTTGTGGTTTAGATCAAAAGAGACAATAGATGGAAACCCTTTGCCTGCACCAGCAAAGCTCAATCTTGACCTCTGCTAAGTATGGAGGCAGTGCAGACGTAGGTTGTAAAAACGGTTTAAAAGGTACGTGTGGGGCTGGAGAGACGGCTCAGTGGTTAAGAGCATTGCCTGCTCTTCCAAAGGTCCTGAGTTCAATTCCCAGCAACCACATGGTGGCTCACAACCATCTGTAATGAGGTCTGGGGCCCTCTTCTGGCCTGCAGACATACACACAAACAAAATATTGTATACATAATAAATAAATAAATAAATAAATAAATAAATAAATAAAAAGGTACGTGTGGTGGAGCCCGGGGGAGGCTGAGGAAGGAAGATCACAAATTCGAGAGCAGTCTCGGCTACATTAAAGAAACCGTGTCTCAAAAAAGTGAAAAGGAACTTGTTTAAGACCGCTTCTGGAGTGGTGACACTCCCAGAAGAGTAACCTCTGGGCCGCCTCCACAGCCAGAAAACTGGTACCGCCCTTGGTGACTCTTAGCTCTGCTAGTAAGTCCCGAGATTCCAGATTTGCTGGGGCTTTGTGGGTGTTGCCCCGGAGTTTGTCAAATGATTTACCTTCCTCCTTCTCCTCCTCCCCCTGACAGAAGCCCTTTCAGGGCAGAGGCGGGGTCGCCCATCAGGGTGTCCAAGGGCTGGACCACATTCCAGGGTACGAATAGAAAACAGACCTGGTGACTAGAATGAGGAATGAGAGAGTGGGTCTCAGGAAACCGTTTTAAAATGAAAATAAGGGGCATGTCCAAAAGATGAAGCCAGTAAGTGTAAAGTGATCTGAAGAAGGGATAATTAATAACAAGCTCTAAAATTCGGTCCTGGAGAGATGCCCAAATCCGCAGTTAAGAGCATTTGTTCTTAACCACTTTTTGCTCCGGCCCCAAAATGTAGCAAAATCATTTTTCCAGTAAGGGATTTAAAATTGGTTTTTGAGGATCCTTCCAATTGTTTTAAGTGTTTTATGTATAATTGATTTACAATGAACTGCATACATTAAAATGTACACTTTCATGTATTTACAGATATGAACACCCTGAAAATGACCTAGTCAATTTTAATTATGGTCATTTATGGACAAATGAAGAGAGGTATAAAGAATAAAATAAAAAGTATTATAGTTCCACTAGTCAAACCACTGATAAGATTTTCTTGTATTTTTACATGTACTAACATTATTTTTTGGATAAATTAGATTATATGCCATATAAAGCTTTGCATCTAGGACTTGTAGGTTCTAGTATAGACTGTAATTATTCTCTGCTGTAGTAAGATATTTGGATTATTTATGATTTTTGTTTAAAATAAAACACTGTTAAGTACCTTTGTATACAAATCCTTTCTCATATTCCCTTATATTTGATGATTTCCTCTGTGTGAACCACCAGAATTAGACTTAGGCCAAAGGGTAGATCTGTTTTCTTTTTTGGTGTTGTTCATTTAGGAGTGGCTTTATTGTCTTCCCAAAAGATTATATACATATTTATTAAATTTTAAGAAATAACCTGGACATGATGGTTCATTCACACCTGTAATCTCAGCACTCGTGAGGCTGAGGCAGGAGGCTTACAATGACTTCTAGAACAACCTGTAACATATAACGTGTTTAAAAAATACTTTAAAATACAGAAATTATATTCTAGGAAGCTCCTCATTCAAATTCATTCCTGTTAAAGCTAAAGCTGGGCTGGGGAGATGGGCCAGTGGGAAAAGTACTGACGTGCATGCTTGAGGAGCTGAGTTCAATCCCAAGGACCCGTGTAAACGTCTGAGGAGCACATTTATAAGCCCAGTGCTGGGGGTCGAGGCAGCTGATTCCAGGGCTCTCTGGCCAGCCAGCCTACAACTCAAGCTCCAGGTTCAGTGAGATAGTCTATCCCAAAAAGCTAAGGTAGAGAGTAATAGAAGACGTTTGACATTTGTACACACACACACACACACACACACACACACAGCTGAGACTATGTTGATAGATATGTTCCTGGCATAGACTATGATTATAGCTTCATGAACATTTCTTATCTCCAAACTGTTCGTTAGCGATGAGCATGTTTGTATATGTCAATCATACTTCAGTAAACTCTTTTTAAAAAAAGAAAGAAAGAAAGAAAGAGAATAATTGAAAAAGAGCCAGTGTAGTAGAGCAGACAGCCATGTTCTTGGGGGCAGAGGGAAGATCAAAGTCCAGAAAGGCAAATAAGTCTCATCTGTGGCTTGGTGTAATAAAGGTGTCTATTGTTCTGTGTTTAAAAGTAAAAAGCACTTAGCAGAGGAAAAACTCAGACATCTTCAACAATTACAAATATTCTCATAGTTTTTTCCATAAATTATGGAAAAATAAGTGGACCTCTTACGGAAATGTTTAAAATTAAAGTAATAGGTATGGCCAGAAGATGCTAAGTCCATGGATATGAAGTAACTTGAGGCAGGGATAATCAAAAGCTCTAAGATTTGGGACTGGAGAGATGGCTCCTCAGTTAAGAACATATGTTCTTGCGGAAGACCCAGGTTCGGTTCCCAGCTCTCTCCTAGTAACTCACAATGACCCATAGCTCCAGTTCCTGGAGGTCCAACACCCTCTTCCGACCTCCATATGCTCAAAGTGCACATGGTACATGGCACTTGCAGGCAAAACACTCATCACAAAATAAACCTAAGTTTAAAAAAGTTATAAGATGCCATTGCAAAGCCCCGGGCAGGACAGTTAAAAATATAAAAGTGTTGGGCAGTGGTGGCACACTCCTTTAATCCCAGCACTAAGGAAGCAAAGGCAGGTTAATCTCTGTGAGTTCGAGGCCAACTTGCTCTACAGAGCTACTTCCAAGACAGCTCTAAAACTTTCTCTCTCTCTCTCTCTCTCTCTCTCTCTCTCTCTCTCTCTCACACACACACACACACACACACACAAACACACACACAGAGAGAGAGACAGAGAGACAGAGACGCAGAAAGAGAAAGAGATACACAAAAATTCAAGAGCAGCCAGGGTTACATAGTGGAACCCTGATACTGCCGTCCAAAAAAGCCACCTAAATCATTGGTGTGCACTGGATAAATTTACTACATTATTGGACTATGCTTTACAGAAAGGGAATTTTATGGTATGTAAATTATACTTCCCTATAGTTGTCTTAACTAGGAATGCTTTTTCTATGCAGACGTACTAACTATATTTTTGAGAAATTGTAAAAATGGCATCATCCTGTATTGATACCATAGCTCCATGTTTGTATTATTTATAATTAAAGTTTGGCTTTCCTGAACTTTAATTTGGTGTGTGCGTGTGTGTGTGTGTGTGTGTGTGTGTGTGTATGACACATATGTGTGGGTGCCCACAGAGACCAGAACTCAGGTCCTCTGGAAGAAGCGCTCATGTTTCTAACCACTGGGCCATCCCTTCAGCCCCTTTCCTGAATTTTTAGAACTTTAAAAGTCAGTTTTAATTAGTGACATGTATTCACTCAGTTCATGGTGGGACCCTATTTACACGAAAGACAACTTCATCAAAGACACACGTGTGGCGCTCCCTTCACAGCTTCCCTAGCCCCTCCCTCTAATAAAGGCAGCTAAAAATAGATGCTTAGGACAGGAGAAATGTGTCAGTCAAATGACTCCTGGTGACGCTCTGCTGTGCTCATAGATCGTGTGCAGCCATCACCAGAGAAGCCTCCTCCTGCAGCAGATGGGAGCACAAACAGGGACCCACACTCAGACATTATGCAGAGAATGACACCTTGGAATACTCGGCCCTAAACGTGATATCTCCATCGAATCCCTCACCTCAGAGCTCAGGAACCCAGTGGAAGAGGAGTCAGAAAGAGTGTAAGAGCTGGAGATGGGCAGAAGGACACCAAGGAATCAAGGCCTCTAGACGTAACAGGGATGACACACATGAACTCACAGAGACTGAGGCATCGTGTACAGACCCTCCAGGGTCTGCACCAGCTGCGGTCCTAGAGCTGAAAGGAGAATCCAGAAGCTGTCTCCAGTTGATATCACATGCAAATGAAAATGTAGTTTCTTCCAAAGGAGTCTGACTGGGGACAAACTACCCTTAGGGGTAGGCTGCATGCCCAGCAGTAGATGGTCAAGAGAAATGAAATCCAAGGGCATCTTTGAAGGTTCCCTGTCCCATAATGTGGTGTTGGGGCTCTTTGTTTTTTGTTTTGGGGGTTATTTTATCTTACTCCTTTCAATTTTTTATTTTATTTGTATTTCTTCCTCCTCTCTTTTTACCCTACAGGTCCTTTGTGCACCTATGATGGTTTCCAGTTTAGTGTTTCTGTGGGATTCCTGCGTGTGCAGATGAGTGAGTCTCTTTTTCTTGTGCCTTCTTGGACTCTTTTTCTTCTGTTTGTTTTGTCCAATTCTAGTGTGTTAGTTTCTGTTTTGTCTTATTATATTTTATCTTATTATTATCCCATAGAAGACTGTTTATTTTCAAATGAGAGACAGAAAGGAAATT